AATTGGCCATGCTAAGTTACCCATAGTGCCCAGGGATGTGTAGGTTAGGTGGGTTATAGGGGAATGGGTCTGGATGGGATGCTCTGAGGGTTGGTGTGGACTTGTTGGGCCGAAGGGCCTGTTTCCACACTGTAGGGATTCTATGAATATGGCCTTGCTCTTGCCTGAATTTATGTTGGTTCCTAAGACAAGCTCAAACTGGATGATTGATGAGGGCAGGGCAGCACATATTGTATATATTGATTTTACTAAAGCATTTGACAAGGGCCATCATGGTAGGTTGGTCCAGAAGATTAATTTACAAGGGGTCCATGGTGAATTGGTAAGTTGGATACAAAATTGGCTTGGTCATAGGACAAGGGTAATTGTGGAGTAGTAGCCTTCTGACTGGAGGTCTCACCAGTGGTGTTCTGCAAGGATCAGGGTCAGGACCTCTGTTGTTTATAAAGGAATTGGATGAAAATATCAGTCATCTGATTAGTAAATTTGCAGATGACACAAAAATTGGTGAAGTTGTGGATAGTGAGGCAGGTTATCAAAGGATACAGCAGGACATAGACCAGTTGGAAAGTTGGGCGGAGGAATGGCAGATAGAGTTTAAACCAAGTTATGTTTAAGGTGAGAGGGGTGAAGTTTAAAGGAGATGGGCAAGACAAGTTTTTGATACATAGCGTGACAGGTGCCTGGAACGCGACGCCTGGGGAAGTGGTAGAGGCAGATATGATAGCAACAGCTAAGAGGCATTCAGACAAACACATGAGCAGACAGGGAATAGAGGGATAAGGAACATGTGCAGGCAAATGGGATTAGTTTAGAATGGCACCATGATCAGCACAGATATAGTGGGATGAAGGGCCTGTTCCAGTGATGTACTGTTCAACGTTCTATATTCTATATGGAGTAGGCCATTTCAGACTGAGATAAGGAAACATTTCTTCACTCAATGTGCAGTGGACCTATGAAATTCACTACCTCAAAAGGCTGTGGAGGCCAACTCACTGGCACATTCAAGAAAGAGTCTGATGCATTTTAAATGGGTTATCTATAAAGAACATCTCACTGAGATACCAATAATTATCAACCCCAATTCTCCATTCAACAACAGTTCAAACTTGAACTTTTCTCTGTCATTTGCCATCACAGATCCTGTCTGGCCACAAAGTAAAGACAAAACACTAAAAAGTAAGAAATCCAAATCAAATCCACAATTAAATCATGCCATATCACATAGGAAGTCTATTATTCATCGTTTTTTTCCTTCATGTCTGTAGTGATTGGAACAAGGGCTAAGTGGATCTTATTGACTGAGATCTCAGGTTAACACCAGTCAGGGATCTCATACTCAATGGGATCCGCCTGGCCCTCATTCCAATCAGTACAAGTCCATCTTCTGTATATCTTCACTGATCCTTTCATTTCTGGGCAGTGCCAGCTCAAGCAGAATGGCTGACTTTCATTGGAAGGGACTCCAATAGCCTTGCAAGATGCTCTCAAATAGACATAGTTGCAAATTGCAGTATATTTGAATGTACGGGCCAGTTGGTTGACAGGTAATGTCATCTGTGGTGCAGCAGGGATGAGAGGACAAATGTTGTCTTCTTGAAAGATAGCCAGTTTGTGCTCCATATTCCTCTGGAGGGGTGCCTCAACAGACCTAGTGATCAGTTTAGGTTTTCAGCAGTGTTAAATGTGAGAATCAGCACAGCATCTGAACATCAGATACAATGTTCTGATTGATGATGAATTGAGTAGTGCTTCAGGATATTCATGCAGTTGGAAAGGAGTATTTGAAGATATATCCACTGAAGGTGAAAATTTGTGCGAGGTCAACTAACTTCTTGCAGCACTGTATTCAAATTTGTGTGACTGGACTCATTGACTTTTTTATGATGTATATCATAACCGTGTGACGGCATGGTGGCACAGTGGTTAGCACTGCTGCCTCACAGCGCCAGGGAACCGGGTTCAATTCCAGCCTCGGGCAACTGTCTGTGTGGAGTTTGCACATTCTCCCAGTGTCTGCGTGGGTTTCCTTTAGGTGCTCCGGTTTCCTCCCACAGTCCAAAGATGTGCGGGTTAGGTGGATTGGCCATGCTAAATTGTCCATAGTGTTCAGGGATGTGTAGATTAGGTGGGTTATAGGGGGATGGGTCTGGGTGGGACGTTGAGGTTCGGTGTGGACTTGTTGGGCTGAAGGGCCTGTTTCCACACTGCTGGGATTCTATGATTCTATGAGAATTTAAAGCTAAAGCCACAATAACTGAACATGTAAAGGATGCACAACAAAATAAATACATTGATAGACAATTAACATTTGGAAATTAGTAGGCTTGATGTAATAAATATGATTGCATAGTAGCCAAGGTTGAGAACTACTCACTTCAGGTTACTTCGGGTTACAAGGGGAGGTGATGGCCTATTGGTATTACCTCTGGACTGAAAATCCAGAGACCCAAGTAACGTTCCAGGACTCGAGTTTGAATTCCACTATGGCAGATGGTGGAATCAGAATTCAATAAAAATCTGAAATTAAGAATCTAATATGACCATGAATCAAATGCCAATTATCAAAAAAGCCCATCTGGTTCAGTAATGTCCTTCAGGGAAGCAAACTGCTGTACTTGCCTGGTCTGGCCTACATGTGACACTGACTGAATTAGGGATAGGCAATAAATGCTGGCCTAGCCATACTGTGAATGGGTTTTTAAAAATTCTCGATTTTCAGAGCAGAGGCAAAAGATGGGGTTAGGGCCTGACAGTAAATGAGATAAAGAATGCAGACAGAAATACTGTTCCTGCCCCACAACTATTTTCTAACCCCCCACCTCCTCATATCAACCTGGCTTTTCCTCCCTATCTGGTCCATACCACATCTGTAATTCCTTTGACACTCTCCATCTGTGGTCAACTACCACCACATCTTCACTATGGGTATCCATTTACATCTTTTCATCTTCCATCAGGGCTGTCTGAAGGCTCTCTGAGCAGAGATGCAACCAGTCATCAGCCACCACCACCTTTCTCTGCTTGGCTGAACTTCTCCTCATTTAATTTTTTTTCCCTTTAACTGGTCATAACAGATAGGGTGCCTAGGTCAGTCTTCATTATTTTGCCTGTCTTTTTGCAGGATGAATTACATTCCTTGTTCCAATCCTATTCAGGTCCTCTTCCTAACTCTTTTCCAGCATATTGATGTCTGTATTGGTGAGTTCCTTGCTCTCACCTGAAATTGGAAAACAAATAATTTTGCTTCCAATTACTCCATGTCTCACCTTTATGATCAAACTCTGACATCATCCTTCTGCAAATGTTTAACTCCATTTCTGGAAATGGGCTGTCTCAAACCACCAACTACCTCGAATACAGGTCTTCACGATGCCTCCTTCAAGGACTTAATTTCTCCTTCACATGTGTTCTATAACAGCATTTAAAAAACATAGAACATAGAACAGTACAGGCCCTTCGGCCCACGATGTTGTGCTGACCTATTATTCTACTAAGATCAATCTATCCTGCATACTCAACATTTTACTATCCTCCATGTGCCTATCCAAGAGTCATTTAAACGTCCCTAATGTATCTGACTCCACTACTACCGCTGGCAGCGCATTCCACATGCCCACCACTCTCTGTGTAAAGAACCTACCTCTGACATCTCCCCTATACCTTCCTCCAATCACCTTAAAATTATGCCCCCTCGTAATAGTCATTTCCATCCTGGGAAAAAGTCTCCGACTATCCATTCTATCCATGCCTCATCATCTTGTACACCTCTATCAAGTCACCTCTCATCCTTCTTTGCTCCAATGAGAAAAGCCCTAGTTCCCGCAACCTTTCCTCATAGACCTGCCCTCCAGTCCAGGCAGCATCCTGGTAAATCTCCTTTGCACCCTCTCTAAAGCTTCCACATGCTTCCTAAAATGAGGTGACCAGAACTGAACACAATATTCCAAATGTGGTCTCACCAGAGTTTTATAGAGCTGCAGATAACCTCACGGCTCTTAAACTCAATTCCTCTGCCAATGAAAGCCAACAACCCATACGCCTTCTTTACAACCCTATCAACTTTGAGGGATCTATGGACATGGACCCCAAGACTTCTGGTAAGTCTCCCTTTTTCCTCAACTGTGGGCATCTCTCAATGGTTGACAGGGTCCTCAATGGTGTCCAACCCTCTTCTCACAATTCTACACTCCCCTCTTCCCCTCCCTCTCAAAACCATGTTAGCAATTAGTTTGTCCTCAATTTCTACTCAATAATTTCAGACCATGAATTCTGCCACCATTGTGAGGAGATGTGTTTTTTGCCTTGTGCAAGTCTAAATCTTGTTTTTTTTTAAAAAATGTTTTTGGTTTTGGATATGGCAGTTTATTATTCTGTCATTTACACACACTCTGGACACAATTATATTTCATTTATTACCACTCCCTTTGCTTTTCATTGTAGGACATGTAACAATCTAACCCTATCCCTTTACTATTCTCCTTCTTACCTAAACCCCACAACCCCCATAATTTTACCTTCAGGTCTAAACCAACATGTTCAACTCAAAATATTTACTTTGTGTCTCTCCAGAAATGCTGTCTCCATGTTGTTTTTTATTTCTTGTTTCTAGCATCTACACTATTTTAGTTTTACCGTGGAAAGAAAGGAACGTAGAACAGAAGAAGAAAAAAACCCAATAAATTATAGAATCAGTTTGAGTGGAGTTAGGAAACAGCAAGGGGCAGAAAACACGTTGGGATTTATTTATAGAACACTGAATAGCCAAATAAAAATTTCCACAATTGCCAGTATGAAAAGTCACAGATGACATCTATTTGTTTGTCTTATAATGCTAATATGAAGTGCCTTATGATGCTTTATTACATTAAGGCACTATATAAATACAAATTGCTACAAAAAAAAATTCTAGCTGGTTTAAAAATGATAACTTAAAACTAATAATTATTCCATTCAACTTGGGTTCATAGGGTGAACTCTAATCCTAGGACCTGTACCTGATGTGTGCTCTTCATTTGCTGGGACCTGAACCTTTGTGGACATCTTCCCCCAAAACTTACTTGATGGTATCTTCACTTTCTGGATTAAAAACATACAACTTTATTAGACAGACAGCAAGCCTGCAGGCCTTAATCACAGAAATTAACATTCCCATTCATCTCAGCAAGTCAAGTATCAGATATTTAGTCAAAAATTGGAAATATCTTTGCCCAGAAATATTGTTGAGCATAATTACCACAGTCCCAGATAACACTTAATCATGGAATATTACTCAAGATTATATGGAATACCCTCCATAACTTTTTTGATTTGGTCAGTGGACTGGGAGCAGGTACTTTCAGATAAATCTCTCTTAGAACAGTGGGATGCATTCAAGAATGCAATATGGAAAAAGCAGGACCAACATGTTCGGATAAATAAAAAGGGTGGGACCATCAACTCCTGCGCACTTTAGATATCAAACAACATACAGCATTAGATTGAAAGAAAAAGGGAGGCTTGTGGCAGATACTAGGGGCTCAAAGAAGCTAAAAAGGGTATATAAAAGGACATTGACAGGTAAAACTAACGGAAAGTCCCAAGTTGTTTTACAGATATATTCAGGGTAAAAAGGATAACAAGGGAAGGAGTAGGTTCATTTTAGAGACCACAGCAGTAATTTCTGTGTGGACTCTGAGAACGTAGGTAGTGTTCCAAATGAATACTTTGGGTCAGTGTTCACTCGTGAGAGGGACATCATGGATATAGGTATCAGAGAGAAGACCTGCGATATAATTAAAGAAATTAGCATAGACAGTGTGGAGATTGAGAATGGTTTAGTAGGTTTTTAAAGAAAAGAAATCTCCACAGTGGGACAAATTATATCCTAGGTCATCAAGTGACATGAAGGAAGAAATAACAAGGGCACTTGCAAAAATGTTCAATTCCCCTCTGGCCACAGGAGAGGTGTCAAAGGACAGACAATGTGGTAAATGATTCAAGAAGGGAGCAAGGGATAAACCAGGAAACTAAAAGCTGGTCAGTCTAAATTCAGTGGTGAGGAAACTTTTGGCAGCAATTCTGAGCAATAGAATTAATCTGCATTTGTAAGGGCAGGAATTAATCAAGAATAATCAGCATGGTTTTATTAAAGGGGAGGTCATGTCTAATCACTTGATTGAATTTTTTGAAGATGTGACAAGGTATGTAGATGAGGCCAACTAGTCTACTTGGACTTTAGCAAGGCTTTTGCTAAAGTCTTGCATAGGAGACTGATAGCGAAAAGTAAGAGCCCATGGGATCTGAAGAGATTTGGCAAATTGGACAGACCTGGCTGAGTAGCAGGAAGGTGATGGTTGAGGGCATTTTTTCTGATTGCAAGTCTGTGTCTAATGGGACTCCAAAAGGGGTCAGTTTTGGGGCTCTTGCTGTTTATGATTTATATAAATGATGATACAGAAATTGGCAGGGTGGTAAATAGGGTAGTGAAGAGAATAGCCTTAGACTACAAGAGGATATAGATGGGCTGATCAGTGGCAAGAAATAAAAATGATGTGATGTACTTGGGCAGGACAAGCAAGGCAAGGGAGTACATGATGAACAGTGGGATCCTGGGACGCACCAATGATCGGAGAGATCTTAGCATGAATGTACAGTGGTCCCTTATGGTATCATGGTGGGTGGATGAAGTGGTTGAGGTGACATGTTACGTGCTTGACTTTGAGTTGAGGAATAGAGTTTAAGAGCTGGGAGGATAAGCTGGTAAACCACTGGTAGGATGTTTATGAAATTTTTAAGCCAGCAGGTAGACATGAGGCTGAACTTTCACAGGAATCCTATTTAACTGTAGGACAATAAAGGAATTGATGATGAAACTGTACAATGATACAAACCCTGGGAACGTGTGTGGTTGTAAAATATCTGACCGACCCAAGAAGCAATGACAAATTAAGATAAGTTTATTGTGTATATCCTGATAAGTAATGAAAGCAAAATGGCAGAAAATATTAAATAAGTACCTTGCCTAATACTTCACAGAAAAAGTTGATAGGTAAACTTGACATTGGAAGGCAGTGTGAAGACATTTATGAATTATCTCCTCTCATCTTATGTTTTGTTCCAGATGGATTGCATCAATTCATATCAAAAGTTATGGAAGTCTTGGAAGATGGACTATGCTCATGTATTTAAAAAAAACAGGAAAACAAATGATTTTCGAGGACTGCAATAGCTTAATCACAATGTTTCTTTGAAGTAGTAGGTGAAAGACATTAATGATTAGCAATTACTCAAACAAGCTAGAGAAAAGCACGGAAGTAGTAGAATAGAAACTTTCACCAAGTATGACTTTGAACAGAGAGCTGGAAGTTGGATGAGTAATGGAATCTTAATTTCTTTCCAAAAATCTAAATTTAACTGTGGCACGGTGGGTCAGTGGTTAGCACTGCTGCCTCACAGTGCCAGGGACCCGGGTTCAATTTCAGCCTTGGGCAACTGTCTGTGTGGAGTTTGCACGTTCTCCCTGTGCCCACGTGAGTTTCCTCCGGGTGCTCAGGTTTCTTCCCACAGTCCAAAGAGGTGCATGCTCGGTGGATTGGCCATGCTAAATTGCCCATTGTGCCCAGGGATGTTTAGATTAGTTGGGTTAGACATGGGGAAATACAGGGGTAGGGGAGTGGATCTGGGTGGGATGCTCTTTGGAGGGGCAGTGTGGACTTGTTGGGCCGAATGGCCTGTTTCCACACTGTAGGGATTCTATGATTGATTGATTGATTCTAATGATTCTATGATTGAAATTTACACTTAACTGAAATTTACTGTTCAAATTCTAAAATTTAAATCAAAACTTGAGAATGTACAAGCTTTTCACTGCAGAACAGTTCAACTTAAGGGAACACGCAGAAACCTTTTTCTATGCCATATAGTAAACAGTACAAGAGCAAGAAGGGGAGGTTGAACTTGCACAAGTCAAGCATTAGACCTCAGTTCTGTACAGTTCTGGGCACCACATTACAGGAAGGATCTGAACACAGTGTGCAGAAGCAAGAATGCAAAAATTTCCAGGGATGAGAAATATTGGTTACGAGGATAGATTGAACAAGCTGGAACTTCTCCTTTGTGATTTGCTCGAGGTTTTCAAAATTGCGTGGGCTGGATAGTGTAGATAGGGAGAAACTATTCTTGCTTGTAAAACGATTGAGAAACAGAAGGCATAGATTTGAAGTGATTTTCAAAAGAAGCAAATGCAAGGTGAGGGGAAAAAAAACAAACATTTTTCATACAGTGAGCAGTTAGGACATGCAATGGAAGTGTGGTAGAGGGAGATTCAATTGAGGCATTAGATGGATTATTTGCATAAAAAAAATCTATGCAAGGGTATGGGGAAAATACATAATGGGGAAAATACAGAATGGGGTTGGCACTCGGTAATCATAATCATTATCATTTGTTGAGCAGGTGAAGGTAAAATAGGCCAAATGGCCTCCTTTTGCACTCCAACACTTCTGTGATTCTGTATTTGAGCTAAGATGAAGCTTCTAAATGCAGGTACGGCAGAGTGACTTAGCAATGAGTGAAGCTTCAGAGTACTTGCAATTGCGAACAGTTGGAAAGAGGGGGAAGAAGTACTTCATCACTTTTTCCTGTCTTTTCCACCTCCAGGACCACCTACCTATTTACATGACTGCAGCGGAAGCAGCTCACTTTTTAGTGACTGTCTGTTAAGTAGCTAAAGTATGTTCCATTTCCAAGGTTTAAAATAGTACAGGAGCAGACAGAAGGGTTAATAAAATATATAAAAAAGGAAAATATGATCGAATTTTAACCAAAAAATGAGGGTAACATGCCAGATGAAGTGCCAAGAATGTTGCACATGGGAGCTCCTGGATGGCAGTGTGATTTGGAGCAACCATGTCTACAGTAAGAGTGTGCAACTCAGAGCTTTGGCTTAGAATCATTGAGCTGGAGGGTGAGCTGTCAACTCTGCAACACATCAGGGAATGAGAAAGTTACCTGGATACTTTGTATCAAGAGACAGTCACACTGCTTGGGATAGGGTCAGTAAATTATGGTAGCAGTTGAGACTGGTAAAAGGGACTCAGAAGGCAGAGTTCAAGAACTTCAGCCTTAGTAATTTCCCAACAGGATTGAGGATTTTTTTTTTTGATATTCCAGCATTCTAATGACATCTAATGCAAACTGGAGCCACAGTACATCATTTCACATTTAGCCATTTTACAGACTTCTGGTCTCTTCAGGTTGTGAATTCTGTCACCTATTTGCTTTTTCAAACCTTCCCTGGACTTCCTTCAATGTCTAGTTTTCTTTGCTTTGCTTTCAGCTGAGCTGACCTATATACTATCATTATCACTTACACCAAATCTCCTTCGCACTACAACAACCACCACTCCCCTGGTCTTTTCTTATTAATTTGTAAGACATGGGCATCGTTAGCTGGCCATTCTTAGGTGGTGGTAATGGTTTGCCTTCTTGACTGTTGCAGTCTGTGTGCTGTAGGTTATTCCACAATGCCCTAATGGGTGGAATGCCAAGATTTTGACCCGGCGACAGTGAAAAGAACAACGAAATATTTCCCAGTCATGGTGAAGAGTAGCTTGGAGGGAAACTTGCAGGTGGCGGTATTCCCATGTATCTGCTGCCTTTGTTGCTCTTGGATCTTTGATGAATTTTTGCAGTGCATCTTGTAGATTGTACTCACTGCCACTACTGAGCATCATTGGTGGAGAGTAGATGTTTATGGATGTGCTGCCAATCAAGGGGGGGTGCATTGTCCTGGATGGTATCAAGCTTCTTGAGTTTTGTTAGAGCTATCTAGGCAAATGAGGAACATTCAAACACATTGACTTGTGCTTTGCTTTGAGCAGTCAGGTGAGTTACTCACTGCAGTATTCCTAGCCTCTGACCTGCTCTTGTAGCCACTGTGTTCATTTGGTGAGTCTACTTTAGTTTCTGGTCAATGGTTACTGCTCCCCTCTCTTCCCCCAGGATGTTGGTAGTGAGTTTTCAGTGATGGTAACACCACTGAATATCAAGGGCAGTGGTCTTATTGGAGATGATCATTGCCTAGTGCAGATGTTGCT